TAGAGTATTATTAGTGCATGTCTAACATAAATATAACATAACATAGACATAAACTTAAGCATAAACTGCCTTAACACTAACTAAACTTAGAATAGGCTTAATTTATATCTAAAGCGCTTAAATTTTTAAGCTAAGTATTTAATTACTAATTTTTTTCTAAACTTTTTTATTTCTTACACAACGTCTTATACCTACTATAATACCTCACGTAGTAATTAAACTAGACCTCTGTAAAGCTCTATAACCTTACTCGTGCACAATTGTGACACAGCCTTAGGCTACGTCTTAAGCGTTAGTAGTAGTAATAATAGTACAAAGTTATACTCTATTTGCGTAGTAACAGGCGTAGTAACTTAAGCAGGGCTTACCTAAGCAGCTACTAGGCCTGCGTTAGCTGTTAAAGGCTTTATAAACTACACCTAATTGCGCTGTAAGCGCGTTGTCTGCCCTTTAGTACACTTTATAGCCTTTAGTTGCGCTTTTATAGCTTTTTAACATAGTTTTACTACTTTTTTATATGCTGCAATAGCTGCAGTAGCTGCAGCAGCGGCCGCTGCCTCTGCTGCAGTTACAGAGGGTATACGCGCCCTCTTTAGCCTCTCTATAAGCATATTAACAGACTACAACACTAAAAACGCGTTAGTATAGCTTCTATACATATATTTGTATAGCCTTAAGTTGTACTAATAATTATTAGATAGTTATTACGCAATTCTTGCATAAAATAAGTAAATTTACAGTTTATGTGTAAGTTTGTACGCGTGCAGGGAAAATTGTTGTGTTGCCAAGGAATTCCACCGATTTTTGCACCAGATAGATGCGGAGAATGCCGTTATTGCCTGTTTTGTTAGCAATCTTCTAACAAATTCAGCAACTATGCCATCTACGTTATTCTTTTGCCCATTATGATGTCCCAATTCCTATCCCAATCAACGACGCGGTCGACAATAGAGGCTCTTCAACTGCAGAAGAATTAGTTACGTAACAACGCTGTTACTAGTGAGCTGACTGAGCTTACAGAGTACATTAAAACAGTGAGATCAACAACAGTAGATCTCACAAGGGGTATCACAACTTCCTAATTGGGTATAGTCTTTAGCTTCAGCGCAATTACTTCATAATACTTCAATATACTTCAGTTACTGTATCCTAACCGTACACTGACGTCATCTCCTCCGTACAGTTAGTTAGTAACAGCCTCCTCTTCCGTAACTGTACTATACAGCCTCCAAAAGGCTCCGTAACTAACGGTTGGACACACTGATTGTAGGCGGACAGCCTAGAAGCCGGTCTTTCAAATCATTCCAACGCGAGGTCTTGTAAGGCTTAAAGCCTAAGTATCAGAGATATTTCGTAGCGAAAGAGGTTAGTCAGCTTCTAAGTAGCGACGTATAGCTTATCTATCTACACTTCTCCATCCCTTTCCATCCCTTTCCGCCTTTCCCCCTCAAACCATCAATCTCGTACTCGCTCTTTATGTAAGCCCAAAGAACGCAATATCCATATCCGGATGCTGCGGGACGGTATGCCCAACACCCTGCGCACTGTACCCGACAAGCTGCGCAGTAGTTGTGGTGCCCTCGCCGTAAATCGTCTGCGTGTAGCCGCTCTGTGGGGTATTTGTGGTGTTTTTGGAGGTGGTGAGGCCGAGGACGTTGGACCATTGCTTTAGCTGTTCGGCGTCTGGGAAGGAGTTAGTACAGTGCGGGATGGGATGGGGGGCGTGCTCGGTTGGCATCGGGTAGGACATGACGAAAAGAAGCTGGAATTGCGGATGGAAGAGAAACGAAAGAAGGATGGTTTATAGATGGGGCATTTCAACTCACAGTTCGGATAGCGCAGAGTACTGTCAGATGTTCCATGGAAGCTACATTCGATCAGTATCAACCTCCACTTCAAGTAGGTTCGATATCCACTTACATCTGCATCCTCGTTCGCGGTCCCTTGTAGTCAGGGTAGTAGGATCGTACCATATCCCCCCACTGCACCGCCGTGTGGGTAAGCTGTCCGTTAGCGCAGTTATTGGACCACCCAGGCGGATCCTGAGTGGCAGTCGCGCCCGCGACCGCGAAGCATCCGTCTGGAACGCCTGAGTAGACAGACGCTGCTTTGAAGACGTCGGGGTAGGCTCCAGCGAGTACGTTCGCCATCCTGGTGACATTGAACGTAAGCTAGCTGATCCAAAGCTCAAAGAGAATGGAGTAGAGGGAAGAATGGCATGCCCTTGGCGCATGCTGAGAAAGAAAGTAGGAATTTCTTTAGTACCTACATAGCTCCAGAACTAGTTCCAACCGTGAAGGTCCTGTTGGCGTCTCCGCCGTATTTATCTACTGCGTATTTGACCATATTCGCAATTGTCTGGCTGTCACCACCGCCATCGTGTTTCAAAGCTATACAACACTCTATTAGTAAACTGTCTCCATTTTTCGTACGCTGAGGGGATATCGCCTAGTAGACAAGGCTAACAGGGGGGCAAAGAAACGCACGTACTAGCGTCCGAAGCAACATCAAAGCACCCGCCCCCAGATTTCGAGTTCGGGAAGATCAAGATGATGCCATGCTTGTCAGCCTTTGGCATCAACTGGGACTCGGTAGAGTATCCTGACGCGGAGCCCTGGCAGTGATGGACCGCAACGATGATGGGTGCCGGCTTGGTGAGTGTCTTGGGGACATAGGAGTACATCCCCACCTTAGTGGGGCCGGCATTGAAGTCGTTGACTTTTTGCAGCTGGGCATTGCCAATCGTGGCAACAGCCACGAGCGTCGCCAGAGTTGTGATGAACTGCATCTTGTTTGCAGTGCTCGTCTGCGATCTGTTTAGCAAGCGAATAGGTGTCGATGGGATTCTCTGCTTCTTTCCTAGCGATCTTCAAGCAGCGGACCCTTAGATATATAGACCAATTCCGTTCTTCCGTCTCTTTATCCCTTTCTTCAGTCGCATGCTCGGGAGGGCAGCCATTTTCCCGCTCTCAAATTACCACGTGACTCTCCCACCTATTAAAATGGCAGTCTCGCGGCTCTGGGCCAAGGGCAGGCCTAGGTGGAAATCGATGAAGCTGGCACGCGGATACTCAGGTTAAAGTAGCACGGCTCTTTACCCCGAAAACAAATCGCGGGGGGTGGAACTTGATTCGTGTCGAGACTGGTTGTTGCGCTCCGGATGAATTGGGACCGGTTCCAATTATATCTGTAATCGGTATTTCCCCGGAATTTATTATATGGATTCCAATAAGTGTCGGATCGTTCATATAGTTTGCAAGCGTTCATGACGACGTTATCGCCACAACTCATGCGCAAGCGCAGCCTTGCTATTGTGTCAATGGTTCAGTGGTGCTTCGTGCTCTTGTTCTCCCCACACAATGGTTGAAGAGGCTAGTATGAAAGCTTTGGTAAATCACGGACCGGGTAGAGTTTTACCAGATGCTTTTGGGGCGCTGAGAATGTTAGTCAACCTGAAGCGACACCAAAAAGGGATCGCTCTGCTTGAATGGAGAACTTTCGTGACTACAATATATATACTACACAGCATACACTTAGGCATGCAAAGCTTCATGTGGTCGTGAAGATGTTGTGTACAGTTCTAATTGGTCTAATCCTGCAATGGGATAATTGCATCTGGATATTATTGAGCTGTGTGCGGAGAAGTTCGAATTTGTAAGGTTCGAACCTTAGAGTGAGTAGATAGCCACGTGACCTGACCGGTATCTACCTACGTAGGTAGGAAGCCACGATGATGCGAAGTATCAATATAAATGGGATTCTACGCGTTTCTATTCTTTTCAGCATTCATTTTATACTTTGTTGATTTCTCTTAGGCCGTTCTTTGGAAGCAAAAGGATGTGCTCGTCTGCATCTTAGCATTCCTCTCCCCCCTCCTCCCCTTACGCCCTTTCCTCCACGTCCTCTTCCTTATTTCCTACCTCCCCATTCTCACCTCTTCCCACCGGATCCAGATAAGCTTAGCAATAAGTATAAGGACAACAATAGATGCAGTCACTATACGAGACGAACATAGTCCAGTCGATAAAGACAACATCTTTAGGATCAAAGAAAAGGACGAATGGAGACATATGTAATTTTGTGCTTTTCAAATTCCAATGTAGTTTTAGTGGGGTAACTGTATTCTTTCTCCTACAATTCTCTGCTTTCCTGTCGCATATCTACGCGACAACGGGAATGACCTGCAAGTCAGAAACTGCCCGTATGAGCACTGACTACGAAATTTGCGGCTTCACCCTAAAGAGTTGGATCAACCATGTGTACCAGCGTCATCATTGTCGGCGAGACTGAGGATGAGTCAAGTCGGATGGACCGCCCGAGATAGGTGTGAGTCATATGAATGTGAACCTGAGAACAGTTTGTAGGAGTAGCCACGAGAAAATGACCGTATGGTATAGGGGAAATAAATAATTTTATTCATTAGAGGCGTTCGGTATTCAGCAGTGCAACATAGTCTAATGTCTTTATATAGTCCAATAATTAGACAGTTAATGGACCCTGACTAGCAGTAGGCTAACACCAACCTTATCCGAGTTAACCTTAGTGAAGCTATCTATTTCCTCTTCGCGTTAATAGCTCTACAATCATATGTTTCCGCTTAGAACCTCATGGGTTTATAATGCATTGCTCCCCCTATTCATAGGCACCCATGCCGCCTTCCGCAAATTTAAACCATTGAAGAGTCTACAAGGGTAGAATGCCTTTAGCGCCGACACAGGCGTTTCGTCCATGATCGCTGCAACACTCCCCTCGCCCACGGAGTGATTGATGCTGCTCTCCCCCCTTCATCACAGCACTCCTAGAGGAACATCGGTTGTGCCATGCGTGAGAAGAGTTCTGCGGTGATTAGGAGAGAGGAAAATCAGCCACTCCAGGTGGAGGTGTCGTTGAAAATAGGCAATGTCTCCGATGAGGTGTGAAATGTTAGTGTCACGCACATGTCAAAACGGCCGCCGTGATGTATACGGAGGGGTTACATGCCAGCTATTCTAATGCTTCTCTATAAGTAGGTATTAGGTCAATGTCACCGCCGACTCACATGAATATTGTTAAAGACAGGCGCGCTTGCCACACCTGACACTCAAAGTCTTAAGCCTGCTAACTTCAATACCATGTATAGCAGGGGATTACCTATCAGGGGTCTTGATAGGGCTAGGTTTGTTTCGCGAGTGAGATGCAGACTTCTAGTTAAAGGGGGGCGAGACGTCGAGCGAATCGCTAGAGGGATTTGTTGGTACTGGTTTCTAATCAGAAGTGACAGCCTTTATCTTTTTGAAAAACTACAAGCACGACCACAGTCAACCAGCCATCAAGAGGCATACGACATTGGACCAAGGCACAGTCAGTGGTTTGTTTTTAAATTGTATGAAGTTAGGGTTAATTATGTCAAGCATCTTCACCATGAGAAGCATAGCGTTCGGATTGCCTTACGGGAAAAGGGTGTTTCGGTAAGCGAGCAAGATGTGGAGGCTGCAGGGAGGTTCATGATGCGGAGGCATTGTATGGAACCTTTCGACATGGAACGACGAATTGAAAGGGTTTGAGGAACCGACCCAGAGTTGATTTTATAGGGATAAGATACCAGTCTAGGTTACCTGAAAAGCTGGCAGATCCGTGTTTTGACTCCAGTCTTCCCTGCCTAGCTCCGGGAGCACTTCGCACGTACGTGCTTGTGGCTCATCTAAAGATTATCATCACCTTACCACAGGCCTTCTCTTTGTGTAGCTAATTTATGGCCACTATTTGCTGGGCGGCCTTTCTCTTCATATTCATTAGTGTGGTGATTTCCCTTGTCAAACGTTCTAGTGCGATTCTTTCACCATTTTGTAGCCCACCTACACATTTCGTCACGCCAACTCACTTGTGTGAGCCCTATTCTCATAACAACGCAATCACTGTCAATCTGCTAAGAGCAAAAAAATTCTTCTCCAGTCAGGGTTTCACCTAATACCTTGTTTTCACGTCATACATATAAAATCCCGAATCGGCAACCGCCCTTCCAGGGTACTACACTACCTCGATTCCGCGCCTTGCAACTTCAACCAGGCACATTACCGGCAATATGCTTCTCACCGCTATTCTCGCTTCCTGGTTCGCAGCCAGTTCCCTCTGTCTTGCCCTTCCCGTTCAAGAAACCGTCCGTTCCGACCCCGGTCCCTTGGGCACTCATATACGAGGTTGCGGTACCGTTTCTTCTGAATCAAAAGGCAGCGGAATGGCTGCAGGCCTCATTTCAGGAGATGTCTGCCACAACACGCCCATTCCATATGGCTTTCCGATGAAATATTATCGGGTTGGCGGTGGTTGCAACTGCTATTTCTTCTCGTATGACCAGCCCCCAACCTAAAGGGTTTTCCACTAACAATATTTCATTAGAACCCCGGATTGTCCAGGCAACTGGCCAGACCTCGGTATCGCCTTCGGCCCTGCGCACGGCGACTTTGCAGCCCAATCGTACATCTGTCACGACTACTAAGCCCGACTACAAGTACACTGGTATACCTCCTTTCGGTCTTCTAGATGACACTTGCTTTCGCAATCCCCTCAATCTCGAAAGCATCCCCCTTTGGTCTTGCAATACGATATCAGAATGCTTCAGTGTTCAGATAGAGAATGTGAGGACCTTCCACGACATTTATGGTAGCATGTTGGAAGCATGGGAACATAGCACAGACGCATTAGGAGACCTGCATATGGTCAGCAATTCTATACGTCATCTAGGACAATTCAAAATCAGGCTTTTTTCACATTCTGCTAGCCTGTCTGGATGTTCTCCTTCCTGGAGTTCACCAAGTGCGCCTTCCCTTACCCCTTGGACGTCATGTTTACACACTTACCCCACCATAATTGACTCTTACCAAGCTGTCATACGGGGCCCAACTTGCCTCATTGCCGAATCACGTTGAAAATTCTCGCTGCTAATTTCTCCATTGCCAGCAGAAACTATATCATGACGCTTCCAGTCCACTGCCGCTACCCCTACGACTCTCTCCTTCCTCACCTTCCCTTGCACGTGGTTCTTATAGTCACCGAATTCAATCCTCTAACGTCATTCCATCCCTCAACTCCTCGTTCGAGCAACCCCACCTGAACAACTTCCCATAAACATAAGCCCTACAACTCTCCGCAATACCCTCACCCTAGCTATCCCGCTCGTCGTAGCTACTCCATTCAAGGTAATCAACTCGCCCACCACTGGTGGCCAAGGCGGCTAATCTGGGTGACCATCTAGAGCTCAAGGCTCCACGTAGGTTGTTCCAGGGATGTCATCTATACACCAAGTCACGTCTGTTTCGACTTTCTACTCCTAAGAGCGGTCTAGTGAGGCACGTCAAGCTCTGGAATGGCTGCATGTGTGCCTTCTTCTAGAAGTGCTCCTATATTTATGCGAATGAAACGGGGAGAGGTTCAATAAAAGTTAGGAACTCTAGCTGCCCGAACCCGTGCTCTCCCCGCAGTGGCAAGCTTTATCCTCATGAAGAGGATCCAGATTACATACTCTCGTATCACTGTCTTACTGCCCATTTCCTCTAAAGAGGTACGTGAGGCTAGGTTTTAATTAGAACACTTTACTGATACGTTAGTAGCCTCGAGACAGTAATCTGGGAAGTTAATATCTTTTCAAGATCTCAATGGTATATTCCGTGGCGCGGAAACAGGTAGGAGCACAGTGCTATTTAGGGCAACATTTAGACTATATATGGTGATTGGTCTTTCCATAGATCAGCTTAGATAGTCAATTACTAAGCTCTCACACCCGTTTATACGATCTTGGAACATGCATTACACCTAATTATCCCCCTTTAGCGTGTGATGCACTCTTTCTTTCATCTTTCGTGTGATCCGTGACACATGTGTCCATGTGCGAGCTTAGAATTGGCTCATCTTAGGAAGAGTCCTAACGTATGAGAAATTGCACTCACCCAGCCGGAATTCTTCACCATTAGAGACCCACCGGGCCACATCATCACACAATCTCCACAGCACGCCCGGGCCCTCCACAATCTATTATAAAACTATCCGCTATACTTTTGACCCTTGATTCCCTCTTCCACCCCTTGCCCCCAACACTATCGCAATAACCATGCTCTCCGCTTCATCATCACCACACAACTCATACCTCTCTTCTCCTCCATCCCCGCTCCCTTCACAGTCGCTGCGCTGCCCATTCAAGACCCCGTCAACATCTACACCCTAAGCGTAGATCAATGCGGCATTGTGCCCCCGCAAGGCAATTGCGGAGGCACCAGCTCTGGAATCCCTAAGGGCCAAAGTATACACCCAGCGCCGTTGAGGTACGATAATGGCGAGCTGGCAATCATACAAACTTATAGGGTTAAGAGCAGGTGCCATTGCGATTTCTAGAAGCACGCATTCTATCCTATCAATCTTTCAGTTCCTTCATGTATGAGATGTTGCCAGATAATATTGATGTGAAAGTGTTAAGTCTACTAACCAGTGCTTGAACAGGCCACCACTGCACCGGCGGTCCAGATTTAGTTTCTGTCGAGGGGCCAAAGGAGGGTTCCACCGCATTCATTTTCTCTCATAATTGTCGTTAGACAGGTTTAAAATTGCCCAACCTACTAAGTGAGTACCCAATACTGGATGGTTAACGATCTCCGGAGGGCTCACTGACGCGGTGATAGCATGCTCCGAAACTGGCAATACTCTACTTACAACTCCACTCAGTCCGAAGTGCTGGTTCAATTCAATTGAAGATTAGAGGGAGTTTGAGTGTCCGGTGTGAGGCTTTCGGAATACTTTCCCCTCTTCACTTTCGTCTAAGATTTTGGTGGATAGCAGTTTCGCTTTGCTCCCCCAGAAACTTCCTTCTTTCGGATCAATGAAGCTTGCATCGGGAAGAGTCTGAGTGAATGAGCTTTGAATATGTTACAATGGATAGTCAGCAGGAAAACAAAGTGATCTGCGAAGCTATTGAGAGCGCGAAAGGTGATGAGGAGCTGAGTTGATTCGTTAAGGAGTGCGCCTCAGGGTCTATATATGTAAAAGAGTGAGCTAGGTAACAAGTTGTTTAGTATGCAGCATGTAAGCATGGTAGGCGGTAGTAGTTTTATATATATGAGAAGGTGGTGGAGCTCGCAGAGCCCTGTAACGGGAAACATAATCCAGTAGCTTTTTGCATTTGGATGACGTAAAACTACAACTACAAAGAGAGCCGTACAGGATCTTACAACACCGCCTTCACCTTTTGCACGGACCCGGATTCTTTAAATCCCTGTTTTGTAAAGAGTCTCTGGCATTCGTTATCAAGCTAATTATTAAAGCCTCTACAAAAGGCAGCGGAAGCGAAGTATTGTACAAGGCTTAAGCTCCTCTGTCCATTTATGGAAAGAATATTTGCACAAGCCGTGTTCATTTGCTTAACAATAAATTCCTCTTAGCTTTAGCTCTTAGTTAAAACACCAGCATGCTCAAGGTCTGTCTCCCACTTGGCCAAAGATTTAATGGATGATAGGGTGTGAGGATGGCCTACTCCTAAGACGCGTTTCTGTAGTTGTACACATTCCTCCATCAATCTTACGGCTTCCGTTACTCTACCGATTGCTTTCCACGTGCAGGAAAGATTATGCATGCTAGCTAGCGTGTCTGGATGGTCTGCCCCGAGTTTCGTCTTGCGAGTCTCCATTACTTGCACCTCTAGCTCTTCAGCCGCGTCCCATCGTCCTTGACTCCAAAGAGTCAATGCTAGGTTGGCCATGCTAGTCAGCGTGGAAGGATGGTCTACTCCAAGTTTCGTCTTCCAAGTATCCATCACTTGCACCTCTAGCTCTTCGGCCGCGTCCCATTGGCCTTGATTCCGGTACGTCGACGCTAGGTTGGCCATGCTTGTTAGCGTGGAAGGATGGCCTACTCCGAGTTTTAACTTGTTTGTCTCCATCACTTGCACGAACAACTCTTCGGCCGCATCCCATCGGCCTTTACTCCAAAGCGTCGATGCTAGGTTAGCCATGCTAATCAGCGTGTCCGGATGGTCTGCTCCGAGTTTCGTCTTGCGAGTCTCCATCACTTGCACATCTAGCTCTTCGGCCGCGTCCCATCGGCCTTGATTCCTGTACGTCGACGCCAGGTTGGCCTTGCTAGCCAGCGTATCTGGGTGGTCTGCTCCAAGTTTCGTCTTGCTTGTCTCCATCACTTGCACAAACAGCTCTTCGGCGGCGTCCCATCGACCTTGATTCAAAAGCGTCGACGCTAGGTTGGCCATGCTAGTTAGTGTAGAAGGATGGTCCGCTCCGAGTTTCGTCTTGCGAGTCTCCATTACTTGCACCTCTAGCTCTTCGGCCGCGTCCCATCGACCTTGATTCCAAAAAGTTGATGCTAGGTTGGCCATGCTAGTCAGCGTGGAGGGATGGTCTTCTCCAAGTTTCGTCTTGCGAGTCTCCATCACTTGCACCTCTAGCTCTTCAGCCGCGTCCCATCGGCCTTGATTCCTATACGTCGACGCTAGGCTAGCCATGCTTGTCAGTGTTTCTGGATGGTCTACTCCAAGTTTTATCTTGCTTGTCTCCATCACTTGCACAAACAGCTCTTCGGCGGCGTCCCATCGACCTTGATTCAAAAGCGTCGACGCTAGGTTGGCCATGCTAGTCAGCGTGGAAGGATGGTCTACTCCGAGTTTCGTCTTGCGAGTCTCCATCACTTGCACATCTAGCTCTTCGGCCGCGTCCCATCGGCCTTGATTCCTGTACGTTGACGCTAGGTTGGCCATACTA